ATTACGTACTTAGGTAGTACCCCTGGCTTTATGATTGTTAGCCTATTAAATGACTACGACTTTTGTCAAAATCTAACATGACTCATTATTAGCTGTAAATAAATGATGGCGTTGCTGCAAATGTAATTTGATCTCAAAAATAGTACATTTACCATTTGTATTACCAACTATGGTACGCAATATCATTAGAATTATGAATATCTTGAATATATGACGTTCTTAATGAAATCAAATGAACACACGCATGTTTTGTTAATCTAGACTTAAAATTTTAACTTATCTGATATATGGACATTCTATATCTTAAACTTTAATCACTCTTACCTCATTCACACAATCTTTTCCTCATAATTCGGTGTGTAACTTAGAGCTGAGTCAATCTAGTATTTTATCACAAAAATCAATGTCTTAAGAATACACTATTATTGTTGATAATTGACTAAAGAGAAGAGAGTACGAATAGTGCTCTGATGCTCTCATATCCCGCCGTCATGCGATGTGTAGCGACACATTATTTCGAATAAACCACCTTCTAAAAATCCTATTTGTAAATACTTCAATTCGTATTTGTTAAAAAAAAAAGTAAAAATAAAATACAAGTTGATATTTGTACGGAGTATAATATAAGATCAAAGATGTGACGTTTAAGTATAAAAGTAGTGTGCGTGTTGCTAAGAAAGTAAACTACTCTGTAATTCATTACGTTGAATTCTTTAATCTAGCGTTATCGTACGGATTAAATACAAATTACTTCCTCCGTTACGTATTACTCGCAACAAGTGGTATTATTTGTGGATTTTGTGAGACATAAAATATTCTTTTGTTGCGAGTAATATGTAAAGGAGGGAGTACTAGCTAGTATGTGAACTACGCGTATTTGAGTGTTATTTTGCGTTTTTATTTTATTTTATTTATTTTTATTAAAGAGCTTGAAAGAGTTACTGTTTTTTGTTAGCAAATTATAATGATATGATGAAAGAACCCTATAATGAATAGTTGACAACAATATAATAATTATTTTTGGATTATTTTTGTTTTTGTTTATTACATGAAAAATGCTACACATATTACTTAGGGTTATGTTTTATGTAAGAAGCTAAATGTAATATTCCTCATGATTGTTTTAAATGAACTTAGTATACTACTCATACCAACAAAATGCATCTTTCTTTCAGAAATCAAGCTCATCATATGCTAATATACTTCTCAGTTAAACGTGTTTGGTTGAGAGTATTGGTCTATCTATGAGGTCAGTCATTGATCCCAGATGTGCATTTTGTGACAGTACAAAAGCCCCATCCTGATTTGGGGTCAGAGTGTTACACTAAAAAAGAAAAAAAAAAAAAAGAAAAAGAAATTATAACTTAATTACACTGATTTGGCGCGTAATTTTGTCATACATTCTTAAATTAATTCCAATAAATTAGAAAAAAAAAATATTAAATAGGATTGCATATATCATTAGCTTAAGTTAAGTGTTTTACTCCACCAGGCCAATTACTAGTTTATGGAGTGACATGTGTATTTTTGTCCCATTAATAGTGTTATTCGGTACGTATAAAGTATTAAGATCAGATAAGGAATTTAATTATTCTACATAAGGTATTATAGAAAATTATATACTCCATATACAATAGCTCTTCTTATTTAATTTTATCAATCTAAATCTATTATTGTATGATTTATGATATAAGAGAAGACTATCTTTAACTCACATTCATACATGTTTTTCTTTTTACTAAAAAATTTATAATGTCACATTCAGCTAAGCGGTGAGTTGGTGGAAATTGTTTCAAAATTGAAGATGCAATTAAAAATTTGTGACTAAGCTAAGCTTAATAGGTGCGATCAAATCAATGGGATATGATTGATCTTCTTTTTCAATATAAACAAAATTAACATCATAATCATAATTTTTTTTTTAAAATTTTCATATAGTTGAGCAAAGAACGCATATAATAGTTCAATGTACAAGTGTACATGGAAATAACCAGACCTAGAAACTAATACTTCACATTATTTCTAGATGAAATTGATGTATACTACTCCCTCCGTTTCAATATGATAGTCCCATATAGAATCAATCACATAAAATAAGAAAAGGATAATATTTGGAATTTAACATTAAATTAAAAACAATTCATAAATAATTTTGCCTTATTTAATTTTTTTGATTTTTTTAGGAAAGTTTTAGTCATATTTGCATAAATCAAGGGAGTAATTTCTTTATTAGAGTCATGTCATTAATTCACAATCAATTAATCTAACAAATCAGAATTTAATATGAATAAAATAGGAAATAAAAACTAAGTTAAAAGTAGAATACATTTAATATGGGTATATTTTTTTGAAACGCCCAAAATAGTATATGGAACTAACAAATTGAAACGGAGGGAGTAATAATATATGTACTTTTAACTTAGTTGGTCAAATTATATAATTTCAAATCAAAATTGGGAAATAAAGGTCACTAAACTAAAATTATGTGTAATCAAATCAATGGCTTAACCTATTGATTTAATATCATTACAAATATGGACAATATTAATATCAAAATCATCAAAAAGAAAAAGGGTTACATCTTACATGGATCATTAAAGTACACTCATATACTTTTCAATGCACAGCTATTTGAGCTAAATATATATCTTCAATAATTTACAATAGATTGTCTCATGCAAGGTTAAGATCATTATTTGACCTATGCATGCTCATCGGCTCATCTTAATCGTACGATCCATGTTGAAGATATAACCGGTTGTACATAAAAAGTTAGCCAGATATATGTTCATAGAATTAACTAGATTATATTTTACTAATTGTGCATTTTTGGTTGATAATGATGTTACTAATAACAAATTGTTTCCCTATAAAAAGATACGAGTAAAAGAAGTCAACAAATCAGTAAAAATTGGCAATCACAATCAATAAAAAGATTAATATTCCATTAGGACTATGCAGAAACATGTAGCTACATATACCCGGAAAAAGATAGGGCAAGTGTCAATCCCAAATTATTTGGGACCAGTTACAAGATTAGAGTTTAATTTATAAGAATATTAATATTATACAATGCAATGAATATCACACATAATTATATATAAAAAACTATATAGGTCTATTTTGAGTCAATTATATTAAAGTTTGATAATGTATATTCATTATTTCTTAGGCTGCTAAATGTGGACCTTCTCAATCAATTAAATTAGATAGGGCTGCTTTAATCTTATGTGGAATACAAAACTTTAACCCTTTTTTGTTGTTATATGTAAGCTAAGTTAAGATAATTAAGGAACTTCTTTGTTTATCCAAATGAAGCAAAGGGAAAATGGAAACGTAAATTAGTTGGTTAAAGTATTAGGGGTTGCACGTGAGAGCCAAGATCAAATTTTTTTGTGTATTACGTTGCCTTTTGTGGCTCTATACACAAAAGAAAATGAAGCTAATTTAACACTTTGTTTGGATAGGAAGAAATAGAAGGAAAAGAAGAGAAGAGAAATGGAGGGGGACAAAATCTCTTGTTTGGGTAAAAGATTGGGGGAAGGAAGGGGAAGGAGAAGGAGGGATCCATTTTCCCTTTCTCTATAATAACCATAATCTCTTCAAAATTGGAGAGATTTGGAGGGAAAATGGAGCTCACCTCCCCCTCCCTTTCTTTTCCCTTCCCTTCCTCCATTTTCCCTCCCCTTCTTTTCCTTCCTTCTTTGCTATCCAAACAAAGCGTAAGAGATGTATTTGTTGATTTTGTCCGTCGGATATATATGTTGATGTAAATTTGCATTTTCTAACACTTCTTTGTATGAGAAAAATGCATTCTTATTAGTTATTATGCACTCTATATAACATATTTTTACAAATATTAATTTAGCAATTTACAAATGGAAATAATCTTTATTATCAACATAAGGAATTGTATGTACCTTAGAGAAATACATTAATGGACAAAGTTTGAACAAAAATACTAACATATTAATTAGTGTTTGATTGAACAAATAAAGTGGACAAAGTACGGAGTATAATATAATCTTTAATATAATCTTATTTATGATTACTCAAAGATATAAAAATACGGAGTACTTATTATTCTGTACAAATTAGTGGACAAAATGCACACATTAGTGTTTGTTTGATTAAACAAATTATGTCTAATCATACTTTCGATTTTTCTATATTTCTCTCTTCTGAGCAATTTTATTTTATTTTTTGTATGTTAAATGAAAGACCTTCTTGTCAAAAATAAAAAAAATGAAAGACCTTATCAGATCGAAAGGTGAAAGGTTCAGAACCCTTTATAACTCAACCCAATCCGAGTTAACGAGCTTGACAATTCGGGAGACTAAGGGAATGGTATGAGAATCTCCTTTCTCTAATTGTTTCTAGTAGAGACTGAACTTATGCTCTGCTTTTCTCTAGGCCATATCAATAGGTCATGCGTAGCTTGATTAAATTAAACAATAAAAATTGAGCTTGGATCAAAATCCAAGCAATGGCTTGTTATACACTTTATTTTTAATTGGTAAGAAGGATGATGACCAAACTTATATCCTTATGATTTTTTTGGTCCTATATTTGCAGGCCATGCACTTGAGACTGTTGAGAGTAGAGGGGGGGGGGGGGAGGGTAAGGGAATCCATATCTCTAAATACCTTTACTTGATAAGATTCGAATTCCATACCTCTTAAGATTTGAAATGAAAACCACCAAGTGTCCAAGTGAGACAATACTTTGTTGGTATCCATTTTTGAATTTGTTACACACTTACACTATCGAAAGTTAAATACAAGTAAACTATTTATTTCCATGAACTCAGTAACAAAGTCCAATTTCTTAAAAAAAAAATGAAACAAGTACAAGTCTAATAATATCCATAATGGACATGAACACTTTTGGGCTTGTGTAATTGTGTTGGGCTATTTAAAAACTATAGTCCATTCAAAATATCAAATGATTAAAATTTTAATTCCTGAATCATGATAATTATTTCCTTATTACTCGTATTTTTATTTTTATTGGAAATATAAAACCCCAAATTGAAGCAACGAATCCTGTATCACTGTCTCCAGAAACAGAGATTCCAGTGAACTCTCTCAACTTCTACTTCGCAACTCCGACCTTCAACAATGGCGGATTCTAACCCTACTTATTCCCAGAAAAGTTCCTCCACTAATTCATCTTCAACTACAGAAAAAGCGCCGAAAAAACCCTCCGAACCCCCAATTTCGTCGCTAATTAAAGCTTATTGGATTCCCGCGACGCTTTTCATTCTCTTCTTCGTCTTTCAAATCTTCTTTCTTCCTACCGCTTTCCCTCCTTCTCATTACGAAGGTACTTAATTTCTCTCTCCTTCATTTGAATTGCGTCGAATTGTTGAATTTTATTATAATTTTGTTGATTTTTTGGTTTTTAATTTGAATTTTTGTAGTTCTTGGAATCAGTAGAGTTAGTTCGATTGAAGAAGTGAAAGAGGCTTATGATAATATAGTTTCCAACTGGTAATTTTCCTCGATTTATATGCAATACAATTATGATTTATGTTACATTGTTATTCATGAATTTAGAAACTTTACTTGTGTATAATTTGATTGTTAATTGCAATATTGCATTGATGAATTTTTGTTAGGTTTATTTTTGTTTTGAATAGTCGATGTGTTGAGTTTAAAGAACATAGCTTTTGTGATATTAGTGAGATATGATGGGGTTTGGATATTATAATGCTGTAGTTTAAACCTGCAATGGTAGCTGTGAAGAATGCACCCTATTTATAATGGTAGGACTTTGCTAAAATATTTATGAGAGCTTGAATTGTATTGATGATCTTGGCTATTATTTATAGCCTACAAAAGATAACTTACACAATATAAACTCTATCATATAAACTTCCATAAATCTATATTAAAATATCAGTAAGATATATTATTATCTTAAATATAATATCATAAGATCTATATGGAAAATATATCACAATAATATATTTTCCTATATTCCTAACACCCTCCCGCAATCGTAACGGCAGTAACACGAATGTTACGATTGGAAATTCGCACTTTGTTGAAGTCGATCGAGGTGCACCTCTCTGTTGATGTTGCCTTCAAATTTTTTTTTTTTTTATTATTATTAAAAAAAATGAACTTTTGAATTGCTACCACGGCCCTTTGCTGACAGACTTGTTGGCAATGAAGAATGCACCCTAATCATAATGGTAGGATACTAGGACTTGTTGGCACTTGGCAATGAAGAATGCACCCTTATCATGAACTAAAAGTGATCCTTTCGTATAGTCATTTTAAAAAATTTTACTCCTCCAAATATGATGTATCTTTTCATATTAAAATAAATATGGTCTGGATATCATTAAGTATTTTTGTAATTTTATTTTATTTAAGTTGTAAATAGAAGAGAGTTATAGGTTGCTAAGAATGGCAAGCTAATTTAACAATTAGCTTGCCATGCCACATAAGTTTTTAAGCTAATTATCATTTAAACCACTTTTTGCTCCAATAATAGCTGTAGGATAGAAAATACATAAAAAGAGCTTAATTGGTGCAATGAGCATTTTATTTTGGCAACTTTAATTCCAAATAAATTAGCTTGCTTTTCCAAGCTAATTGAGTTTTCTAACTCCAATGGTCAAGCCAGTAGCTAGAAAATCACTGAAATTGCAAGCTATTCCCTAACTACAACCATTAGAGTTGCTTTAAGGAGCAAGGTGGATGAGATCCATAGTGAGAGTGTTTGCTTTATTAGTTTTCTTAGGATTAGAGGCCATACTATGTCTTGTTTATTTATATTTTAGTAGATTATGCTTGCTAGGTTTTATTGATATTTGTAATGATGCACTAGAGTTCATTAATCTCAAACATAATGAATCTAGGTGTCGGAATTGAGATTACTTATCTTATTAAATACCCGATAACCATGTAAGTGCCGGAATTGAGATTACTTTTCTTATTCAATACCCAATAACCATTCGATCGTGAGTGGTGGGTCTGCCTCCGTAGGGTGTCACTTATTATCTTTGGTAATTTAGAATGAATCAAGTTTTACACTTTTAATTGGTTATGCTCAACGAGGTTACCTAAAGTATTTAAAACCTTGAAGCAAAATGTAATAATTAAATATGAGATGATTAATTATTCAATTAAGTATTGCAATTAGTAAAGAGTTTACTTACCTTGAAAATGTAATGGTTGATGGTAGGGCCAAAGTTCGGTTAATTATTGGTCAATTATTGCAGAAATAAAGGATTTTAGAATCACTTAATTCAATTGGTATAATTTTATTGAATAAAGTGCTTTAAAGCTACCTAATTAATTTTCTTATGGTGCTTTAATGTTTATTAAACAGATATTGAACTTTGCATTATTTTGTTTGTAGATGAATAGCACTAAGACAACACTAATTTACCACTAAAAATGAAAACAAGGCTAAAATTAAGGAAATTCAAGGATTGGGAAACGGCTTAAAAACGTTTTAAAGAGCCACAAGCTTGAAGCTCGACTCAGCTTATATTCCAATCGAAAGCAGATTTACACTTGGATTTACTCTTGAAAGGCATTCAAAATATGTTTCGAATGCAGAGAAAGTCAGGAACCTAATCTTATTTTCTATTCCAATCCGTTAGGCTAGAAAATTTGAAAACTATGAGCAAACCTTGCTATACAATTGCCTATATGATGTATATAGAGGATGTGTACAACCATTAGGCAAAGACATCATTGATGAGAATGTCGTGGCTCGTGGAAATCGTTAACTTGATTCCCAACTACTCTTGGAATGATTGTGTTAATTATGAGACTTATATTACTCATGGAAAGCTTATGGCCAAGAAACTCATGCTACTCCGTCAGTTAAGATGTAATGATTGAATTGTTTAACCAAATGGATATCTTAGGGAGACTTTTCGATGATATGTTCGCTCATGACACCATACTGTATTAGCTCAGCTCTAAGCTGGTTATAACATTGTCAAGCTTATTCATGATAAAGAAGGCTCAAAAGTCAAACTTGTTGACTTTCTTGTCAATCATTCTAAGAAGTACCTAAAAAAGAATGTATGCCAATGTTACTATTGCGGCAAGTGGTCATACCACACACCATTGTGTCCCCATAATATGCACTTTAAAATGGAAGGTAAGGGGTTACCTAACATTCTCATCGTAAGAAGTTAATCTTACTTCCTCTTTCACATGGGTATTAGATACCGGTTGTGGTGCTCACATTGTGAATGATGTGCAGGTTTTAATAGTGAGTAAGAAGCTAGCGAAGGTAGAAATGATGCTTCGAGTAGGAAATGGAGCAACAATTGCTGCACTTGGTATTGGAAGTTACGAGACCAGATGGGATTTTAACTCATAACTTCCAATACCAAATGTAGCAAGTGTTGCTTCATTTCCTACTTGAAGCATCATTTCTCCTTTCTCTAGCTTTTTACTCACTCTTAAACCTTGCATATCATTCACAATGTGAGCACCACAACCGGTATCGAATACCCATGTGGAAGAGGAAGTAAGATTGACTTCCATTACAAGAATGTTATGTTATGGGGACAATTTGGCGTGTGGTATGACCACTTGCCACAATAGTAATAATGGCATACATCCTTCTTCGGGTGCTCTTCACAAGTAAGTAGACAAGCTTGATTGTAGAGCCTTTATCATCATGAATAAGCTTGACAATGTCATAACCAACATGGAGTGAATACAATTTGGTGTCATGAGCGAACATATCATCAAAAGGTCTCCCTAAGATATCCATTCGGTTAAACAATTCTATCATTTTCAACCATGGATTTTAACCGACTTACTATGTGTAATATAAATCTTATACCTAACGCTGTAAGTCTAGAAGTAGTCGATCTTGGGGATCGAGTTAACAATTTCCACGACATTCTCATCAATGATATCTTTGCCTAATGGTCGTACACGAACTCTACATGCAGCATATAAGCAATTGTATAGCAAGGTTGGCTCATAGTTTACAAATTTTCTAGCGCAACGGATTGGAATAGATGATAAAATAAGGTTCCTGAATTTCTTTGCATCGGATGCCTGTAAATATGCTTTCGATTGGGATATAAAGGCAAGTTTCAAGCTGGTGGCTCTTTAGAATGTTTCTAAACTCCATTTCCCCATCCTCAAAGTTCCTTAATTTCAATTTTGTTTTCAGTTTTAGTGGTAAATTAGTGCTCTCGTTAGTGTTATTCATCTACAAACAAAATAGGACAAAATTTAATATATGTTTAATAAACATTAAATCACCATAAATAGATTACTTAAGTAATTTTAAAGCACTTTATTCAATAAATTGTCCCAATTAAATTACGTGATTCTAAGATCTATTATTTGTGCAATAATTGATCGTATTTTGGCCCTACCATCATTACATTATCAAGGTAAGTAATCGATACATGTTGTTTAGCGTATAAAATTAAAAACCTATCTTTAACGTTAAAAAATATAAACAAGTAATATAAGGATAAAATAATAATACATATAATACAACTATAAACCTTTTCATATATAGAAGAATAAAAGGGATAATTTTTACACTATACGCATAAGATGGGGGGTGTTTAAGGATCATAAACCATAAAGTAAGCGAACCAAGTTATAAGTAGTCTAATATTTACAAGTGATAAACAAGTAACCAACATAGTTTAAATTCGACTCGACTTAACCTCTTATTTCCATTCCTCTAGTCTCATTCAATACTCAGTTTATCATTTAGGTTGCCGGATTTCCATCGCGTACTATCCGTTATTTTGCTTACTAGAACTACTAGAATCTTGCTAAAATATTACCAGCCCAATAAACAACTAACTTTTATCGATCAAACACCACGTCTCACAATAATCTAGCTAGTTTAATAACTTTATAGGCGTAATCTTATACTATCACACATACAAAGATTAAACCTTCAAATTAAACAAACGATCATATGAATTGAATAAATATCAAACTCAATATTAAAATACTTGCAAAGTTAGCGTTCAATAGTTGTGACCAAATTCATGAAAAATCAAAGACAAAATTACATCCAATCAACAAGTATAATAGAATAAGTTTAATCTAATAAACTAAATTATTAAGGGTTAAAGTAGGGAGAACCTTATGAATCAGGAGTATACTAAGGTAGCCGCTACACTCGATCCTCCACTGATTTCGAACACTCGCCTCCAATAATCCTCAATACCGTAGTTTTTCCATCACCCTTGTACTATAAACTCGATTGTACAACCCTTGTGGTTCCGCTTGTTGTGTTTGGGCAGAAGCAATCCCAATTTATACAATTGGTATCGAATTTCATGGAAATCCCAAAAGTAAATCCCAAAATTGGGTGAAAGTGATATGGCAATTAATTGTCAAATTTACCATAATATAAAATTGTAATCTTAGAAAATAATATTTTGCAGCAAATCTTCGGACTGATTGAGAGTTAAAAGGGGAAAAGAATATACTTGATTTTATTTTCCATTGTTATGAATAGTAGAATAAGGCAAGGAGAAGAAGAAGAAAGAGATTCTTCTGTCTTGTGCGTGACCGGGGAAAGGAAATGAGGGGAAAGATGAGTTGTTCTCTTGGATTTAGCTTGGCTCCCACGTGAGGTGAAATTGAGGAAAAGCGTTCGTGGACTTTATTTGCACATTAAGCCAACACTAACTTGCTTCATTTTAGCCCATGTCACCTAATAAGCATCAAACACACTATTAAGTTCAATTATCAATTAAAATGTATTGTTGTTAAATATAACTCATAAAAACGTAATATTGACAATAACTCAATTTAATATATTAAAAAGGACTAAAATAATAAAATTAGGAATAAAAATACGGACAATTATGCACTTACCAGTAACTTCTTTACTAATTGCAACTGTTGTAACTCTTGGTTGAATAATTAATCATCTCATGTTTAATTTTTGCCCCTTCCTTGAAGTATATAAACGCATTAGGTAACATTGTTAAGCATAAACAGTTGAAAGTGTAAAACTTGATTTACCCCAAATTTCCTGACACCTAGCTTTGGCATGACTCATCATTCACGATCAAGGGATTGTTGGGTTTTTAATTGGAAAAACAATCTCAATATCTCTTTCCATGATCCCACTCTTCCACTATTCCTTATATCTTCTTAACTCCAACCATCTAAGTCATATTTTAAAATTAAGATAATTACATTTTTTTTAAAAAAAAAATAAGTGCCAAAATGAGGTTGTTTTGAAGAATTTATCCTTTCACCACTAGTTGCTCCCACTTCATTGCATTTTTTGAATATTATTTTATTAAACTACTATCTTTAAGTTATAGAATTGACTTTGGTAGTTAGGCCTCGTTCTCTTCACCTTATATTTGTTGAATTGAAATTATTTTAGATTGAACTAAAATTAATTTTGCTAAACTTAAATTATTACTGAATTTCTATTATATTTCTTTTTTAAAGTTACTGATTTTTATTAAATTGAAATTATAAATTATTTTTACTAAATTGAAATTTATTTTACTGAACTGTACTTATTACTGAATTGAAATTATTTTTACTGAATATTATTTTTGTAAGTTGAGGTAAACGGGGCCTTAATTTATCCTTGATTGATCTCTATATCCAAATATTGTGTTGTATCAACCTTAAAGTTTAGTCATTTATCTCTATTGTAATTTTGCTTTAAATTGACAAAATCTCATTCACTTCATAGTTTGATTCCATTTATATTAATTTTACAATAGTATAAACTCTTTTATTTATTTATTTATTATTTTTTATTCTAGTCACTTTCCATTCGGGGTCATTCGTTTTTTGTTCTACTAATTTTGCTGTATTCTTTAACATACCCAGAAATCTGTACTCTCTTACTTTAAACAACCCCATTTTTTTTACATTCTCTCTCTGCTATCTTACATCCACTCACATTCTTTAATGTTTGCTAATTTGCATATCTATAGTAAGTGGATAGAACTTAAAAGAACAAAGCTAGTTAAAGTAAAGCTTGTTTCTTACTTCCTCTATTTTAGTAATATTGCAACAACACTATTCATCGCGTTTGTTTGACCACATATTATGATTAATGCGTAAAGTAAAATATAGCCATATGGGGTCTTGTTAGATTAGTCTTGTAAAATATTTTCACAATATCAACTTTTTGTACTTTTTACACTTATATAATTATAGATATTTAACATTTAAAATGTGCTTTAGGATGTGTAATTTCATCCTTGTTGCAATATTTGTGGAATGGAAGAAGTAATAAACTATGAAAATTTTCCCTACATTACCAAAAGTTCAAGGCACTTAGGTCTTTTATTGTCTTCCATGCACATATTTGACCATTAATTAATATATTAAAATATGCATACGTGAAAATTATGCATTATTTAGTTTAAAAAATTAACATTGAGAAGAATCGAACAAATGAATGATCAACTTTATTTTATATTTACCGTGTGAAAAATACTATTCCCGCCGATTCTTTTTGTTCTTCTCATTTGAAATCTTTTGAGACAAAAAAGGCAAAGTGAGAAGAAGTATTCAAAGAAATGTACCAAAATGGAAGAACTAAAGAACTCAAAGGAATGGAGGGAGTGTTATACTACCTCTGGTCCAAATTACTTGCAACTTTGGGGTATTATTTGTGAGATATAAAATATTCCAAAGTTGCGAGTTATTTGGACCGGAGGTAGTATTATTAATATATTATATAATCTACTAGGATATTGTTTTTGTTCCTTTTATATAATTAGTGCTACTCTAGATACACAATTAGAAGAGTTATAGAGAGAGTGCTTATTGGAACAGATGTAAGAAATGTAAGAAAAGAACATTTTAAGTGGGGTGTATTGAATCTTCCATAGTTTTCCTGTCCAACCAGTTCCACTCCAGTTTTGGACATGTGTGTGTACTGAAAGATATTATGAAGTGTATTAAATGTATATAATGTTATAAGAAGACTTAAATTTTTATGGTAATGTAACATGATTTGCTGTCTTAAGGAAAGGTAAAAAATTATGGTTTGATTATTTAGGTCCCAATTGACGTATTATCGGTAGATTTTAAGTTATTCACTCATTAGTATGTCCTTAGTTTTAAAAAGCGCAAGGCGAACCAAGGCGCAAATGGTCCTTGCAGCCTAGGCCGAGGCGCAAGGCGCAGGCGCACGCCTTTTGTATGCAAGGTGCATATACTTAAATATTTATTTCAAATTAATTTTTTACTTTGATTGTACTTAATACCAATTAAAAAGATTCATAATAAATTAAATAACGATATATGTAAAGCTAAGGTAGTCTGAATTTGAAAAAATGATGATCATTCTTCAATTTATAACTTAATCTTAGTTATTTTCCTTGAAGCGCAAAAGGGGCGCGCCTTCCACCTAACTAAAGCCCATTTCCCAGGAGGCGCGCTTTTTAAAACCAAAAGTACGTCCTTTTCTATAACTTCTACATATCACTATCTTACCTATTTATTTTATTTATTTATTTAATTATTATTATTATTATTATTTATTTATTTATTTATTTTTGGGAGAAGTTGAAGTAGTTTAAAGATTCTTTTAAAGGTTTATAGAAACTTTCTTTACTTTTGACCTGGCCCTTGGTGCTATATACAAATGTTATTTTTATAATTTTTTTAAAATAATTTTTTTTAGTAATATTGGGAATTTAGGTTTTAATTTTATTCAATCATTTTGGTAATTTTCAGGAAATCAGGTGCCAAAGCCCCCTCAACTAATGATTTTATCAAGGTTATTATGTCTTCACTTCACTTTCCTTGCTTTATATTATTTGTTAATTAGTGCTTCTTGAAATGTTGTGCTATATTTTAGAGTGAGGGATAGCTCAAGTGGTTCCAGATAGAGAATCCTGGGATCGATTCTCAACCCGCCCTTGTGGCTCTCTAAACAATAACAAAAAAAAAAACTGTTATGCTATACTTCCCCCTTGTCCTCGATTAACTTTTTCAAAGTCAAATTCAAATTCATGATATTTGTTCTTAATTGGTTTCTTTAATTTAATTTACCCATATTAAATTGCCTATTGCTAAGGCATCCTGGTTGAAGTTGATATATCAACCCTTATGGAGATGAGAATAGGGATAAACTTGTGAAGCAGAAAGGATATGAGAAATAATGCCAATTCACCCAATTAGTTACTGTGGCTGTAGTTTCTAATTTGCAAGGATGAAAGGATTGGAAGAGAGTTATACATTACTTTGAACCTATGTTCACCGGACTCGGCTGAAATCCCAAAGTGTCCGTGTCGACACGACACGACGCGGACACGGACACGGAATTCGTGTCAGATTCGGCTATTTGCACTCGGACACTTTAGGCCTGTGTGCGAAATTTTCTTTGACTCCATTGAAACCAGAAAGTGAAAAGGAAAGAGGAGGAGGAGAGAGAGAAAGGCAGGAAAAGGAAATGAGTGGGGCTATTAGAAAGGTAGGGGGTAGGGTAATGGGTATAGGACATATGTCATTTTCAATACCACTTGTTTTTCTTTTGACTTTTTGACTACTAACTTTAACCAAAATTACTTTTATGTGTTACATTACCCAATATTTACAGCAGTAAAAAATTCATTTTAGAGAAAGTACTAGAATAATTATAAGAAATAGTAATCATATAATTATTATTACAAGAATATGATATAAAAATTTAATTTTTAAAATTTATGAGTATTAAAATATTTTGTAATGTATAATTTTTTTTGCAAAAAATAAAAGTGTCGTGTCTCCGCACCCGTGTCCAAATACAGGACAGAGTCCCCGTGTCCTAAAATTTTGGAAATTGACGAATCGGACACTTGGACACGTGTCCATGTCCAACACACATACCCGAGTCCATGTAACATAGCTTTGAACTAGTTAAGGATGTGGATTTTGATGTGAGAACAAATGTTAAGACTTGTAGAGGAGTACAAAGGATATGCTATAAGCATGGAATTAAAAAGCGGCCGTTCCGTTATATAACGGCCGCTTTGTAACGGGTTTGAGACTTACCGTTCCGCAAAAAGCCGTTATATAACGGCGCATTGAAAATCACACCCAACTCGCCGCAACGGCCGTTACGTAACGGTTGAACGGTTGAACGGCGTTATATAACCGTTCTATAATTGTAGCGGCCGTTAAATATAGAAAAGCAATCTTCACACTGCTTGCGAAGAACAGAAAGCCATATATGCCCACAAAATCGATCCGTATTCAACCTAATTTCTAGATCTAAGGTTCGAAAATAAAACCCTACATTTGTTAATTAACAACTAGACTAGCTATAAAAGGAAGAAAGAGAATGGGGCTTTAAGTCGTGGGAATTAGGTGAGCTGAAAGAAGTTTTCACTCCGCCCAGATTTCTTTCCCGATGGTGGCTATTTGCAGGTTCTATTTTCTCTCTCCTTCCTGGTGTGGCTGGTCCTTGCTTGTATTCTCTTTTCTACCTTTTTACCTTTGTTATCACGTGGCCTTCTCTCAATTCTTTCTTTCTTTTTGTTTAATTTTTTTATTAGCTTTTTCTTTCAATAAAATTAGTTTGGACTTTGGAGTACTATATTATGCTGACTGTAGCTCTTATTCTATTTGAGTGTAGCAAAAAATAAAGCCCAAATAATATTCAAATAATTTATAAATGCCATATTTCATATATTGGGCTGTATTTAAAGTACTTATGGAAAAATAGTGAATTATAAAAAAAAGAATTTAAAAGCTCAAAAAATGGCTTATGTGAAGTTTTTGAAAAAAATAACGCCGTGTAATCCGCGTTCCGTTTTATTTGACCGTTACAAGCCGCTTCCGCGACAACGTGTCCGTTACCGCAAACGCGACCGCGACTGCGATTTTTTTCCATGGTAGCATGTGTTTAAGGTTAAAAGAAATCTATCAATTGACAATCATATTTGCATTATTACATAGGTACGATGTTGGCATTAAACTAGGAACATATTAAGATGGGTGTGGTAGACATGTATATGTTTAGATCGATGTTTGGGAAAACCTTTGGGAAATACCAATACGGATAGGAGTAGGAATTTGGATATTCTGAGAATTAGCTATATTTATAAGCATGTGAGACTTCTACTGGATGTTGTGCCTGGAAGAGCATGTAGAACTGGATAGAAGTGAATAGAGTAAGAGAATCTTTGTGGATGGTCATAATAGATACTCTTAGTTCATGCAGCTGGACTAATCTTATTAATGTAAGGCTTTGTGTAATTTATTTATTTTTCTATGGGGTGGGAGGGGGGGGGGGGGGAGGTGTTAGTAGAGACAATTTAAGGAGATTAATGTCTTATGCTGTTTGGCTCATTTCTGTATGCTATTAATAGAACTACAATTTTACAGTAATCTTAACTGGCTTCCTAAGAGCACTCTCACTCATAGGCAGTTTTTTGCCTATGAGAAGTAAGTGATTAAAATAAATACTCCCATACTCATGGTCAATTTGCATCCTCACGAGTAAATGGAGATTTTCTTTGCTACAGTGCAAAGGAAGGGGCTCCACGCAAGGTTAAAAAAAGCAAAAAAGAATACGAAAACAATTAAAGCATGCTTATGGGGTGAGCACCACATGTCCCATGATTTTTTGGCTTTAAAATGTTACTTTCAAATTTTACTTGGCTAATTTGAGTTACTAAAATGTTTTCTTAAAAAAAAAATTACCATCAGACATAAATTTATTTTCTCTCTATAAATACTCTCATTTTGCTATATTTTGACATTCCTTTCGAAAACCACTTATTCTCTACAAAATTCCTTTACTCCATTATCTACTACTCCATACCAAATTATTATTACTATTGTAATTGTTATTAGTAGAATAGTAAATACTACCTCCATTACATATTAGTTGCAACTTTGGAATTTTTTATGTTTTATAAATAATACCCAAAAGTTGGAACTAATGTGAAATAGAGGTAGTAACTTATTTTACTTACTATTCCCTATGTCCTACAATGATATTCCCATTTGAAATCTTTTGACTTTAAAAAAGAGAGGAAATCTTTCAAATTTCTCTCTCTATATAAGAACATAGTCACAGGAGGTCTAGTTTGATTAGTCTTGGTGAGTACATTATTAATACCTAATTTTTAAAAATTTGCTAGTGTAAGATTAAAGATATTTACGGTCAAAGGTTTGCATCGATATACGTATATGGGAAGTTCATTGTGAAACATAGGGAGTATTATTAGTGATTATATTGAAATTTTTATTATTTTTGTTTAAATTAATAAATAGATTATGGTTAATTCGTAGGAGTGAGAAAATATGGTGGGTATAGTGAAAAGTAGGAGAGAGAGTAGTGATTTTTATTTTATTTTATTATTATTTTTTTTTTTTATAATTTTTGCTCATGAGTGGAAGGGAAAAATAATCACCAAAAAGACCATGAGTAAATTGGGTGAGAGAAGTCAGATAATTGGTAGAGAGAATGAAATTATTTATTTTTTTTCTCCCTCATGAATGGCAGTGCTCTAAGGTCTTGGAACTCTGCAAAGTAGAGGAGAAATTAACAACCTATTTAGTGGGACAATAAGTTTGTAAGATTTTTTGTCTATTTCCAGAGAGTATTTTTTATTGGTCGAATGAGTGCATTCGTGCTTAAATCTATGCCTTTGTTCTTTAAAACCAAACCCGAGCAATGGTATGATGCTTTTCTCATTGTATGCGTTCTTTTCTTGCAGATTCGATATGCTTATGAGTTGCTTACTGATCCATTATGGAAAAGAGACTATGACCTATTTGGTATTGATGAGCATCAAGTAGGTATCCTGTATTTGTATACATATTCTTTGGATTGATCATTGTTTTTCTTCTTACACTAAAATTATCTCTGGCTGTAGCATGTTCTGGAAAACATTTTGCAGCTGAATTCTAATAAGGTGTACTCCTCAGTGAACCTTCCTTTACTTGTTGGTTCCACAGGTCAGTTGTGTCTATCCTTTGCCTTCCTGTTGTACATGCCATATAGTGAATATGGATTACTGACTCCAATGATGATTTTGTTATGCAGACTCTCATGATATTGATTTTGAATCCATTACTTCTGGAGATATCCAGTCAATTGTAGGGGGTCAGAGGCCTTGGTTAATTCTGGTGATTGCCTGTATGCTGGTAGCCCGGCATGCCTTATCTCTTGTACTTTTACTGATGGGAACCAAATATTTACTTTCCCTACTTTCTTATAGCCTCCATCTGCATTGTCCTTACTCCTGACTCACTCAAGGGAAATATTATCATGTATGCACTCTAATAGAATTGCCTATAAATTCTTGGCAATAATTGTAATTGTAAATAATACTCGAGTGCCTGAATGACGTTCCTACAATCCTACCTACTTGTATGGAAATTAGATTGATGCTGACCTTGTCCCTTCACAGCAATTAGAAAGCAGAGGAAGCTTATTGGGCCATTCTGAATTAGTCCCTTATAATTTTATAACACAAAGCTGAACTATTGTCAATGATGAATTTATCTACTCCATAATCCATTATCTGCTATACAATGTGAGAAAATTAGATCACTGGTGTAATTCCATGATTTTACTGACATAATATTAGTTTATGTTCAGGTATATTCAAACGGGAGCAATTTATGCAAACAATTTTCAAGCAAATGGAAGAAAATTGGTAAACTTTCCATTTGATACATTAGAACATGTTCACTTTCCTCTTTGATGCTGACTTGTAAGATTAACTGATTAATCAATTTTTGATTTAAATATTTGAGTTACTTCAAATTTTTTATATTGCTCACTATCCATGCCTACAGAAAAGAAGAAAAAGGGGTTTTTCTTTAGGCAGTATAGTTTTTTATTTACTGTCATAATTTCTATACAAAATATGTTTAGATCTTTGAACTGCTAAGTTGCTATACACTGCTATTGCTTAAAAGTAAATAAATAAAACCTCTAGCCTATAAATGTGGTTAGATATTTCTTTAAACTTTGCCTGTAAATTTACATCTTTTTTTTGTTTTTTCTCACCTAGAAGAAAATGTTCTAGTCTGAACTTATTTAGATTTATATCTGGCCCGGCCTATTATATAATTGATGACAAGTCTTAGAACAAATTGCTGCATAGGGTCTTGTTAGAATCTTATTAATGTGTATTTGCCAATTATCTAATACTCACTTCAAAATTATTTGTAATAAAGTAGACGGAAATAAAGTCTGGTCTGTTCTCACTGTTTCAGGTCTGAGGTGGTTTGATTTTAACAAGAATAAGTAGTACGTCTAGCAAATGTTAATTACAATAAAGCTTAATTTGTGTCTTGCTCCTTGTATTAGATTGACTTTCTGGTTTTGTTAATCAATTGAATAAAAAGAGATAATAAAAAAAAAAAAAAAAAAAAAGATGAAAGCTTGAATCTTTGATTACCAATGGCAAAAAGGGCTACAGAATGATAGGTTAATAGCTTTAGGCTATTACTGTCTTTGATAACTTTAGGTAATCACTCTCTTAGTAACTTTAGTTTACCATTCTCTTTCATTCTACATTACAAATCTCATGCCTTCCTACTGCTATGCTGCTTTCAGTTTGTAAAATTTCATGTAGCATGATTATTGTCTTATTTAAAGTGGACAAAAGCAATTATTGTTGTGCCTTAAATGTTTTATATAGTGCTAGGCTTTTTTGCTTTGTCGTTCTTGATGAACATATATTATGTTGCAGTTTTATTATATCTTGCATTAGGAATGTTTCTGGAGGAAGTTAAGGTTTGGACCAAATCAAGCGAGTTGTTATAAACTCTTACCAACGTTTCCGCTGGGGGTAGTTCCCTTTTGGAAGTACTACTGTTTATTGAGGTTGATCCCCCTGCAAATTGTTTGGTGGAATTTCTGTAAAGTCTTAACTCTTTTATTATGGAATTTTTTCTCGAGTTTCTTGCTATTTGGAATATAAATGCTCATCCTAAACATGCTGTTACCTTTTTTGGTTGGGCCTGTACTCTGTAGTCTGTAGTTAAGAAAAAGATGCTGAATGGATATAAATTTAAAAAGAGAATTGATTTGTGCAAGCATTGATGGCTTGACACTTATATGAAGAAAAGTAAGAGATAAGACTGTAAGAGTCGCATTAATCACCTCGTACTCATTTGCCCTTGGGTTCCATCCCATTGTCATATAGCATTGTTTTGGTTAAGTTGGTTTTTTCTTGGCTTGGGTGGTAGCTGATGGTGGAATGCGGAGATGGCTCTGTTGGCCTTTTGTTGTTGATGTGTACCTGAAAAGAAAGAAACCAGCAAATTCCTTGTGGGTAGAGCTTGCTCAAGTTAAAGGCTAAATTTTCTTATCTTGAGGCTATTAATAGTTAGGGGGATTGTGGTGATTTTTGAACAGTGAGTGACGTGTGAATATTCTTGAGTCAGTAGAAGCAATATTTCATGATAGCTTAGAGAATGGTTCTTTTTATTATAGCCAAATTTTGAATTTAATTGTCACTCCTTTGGGGCCTTTTAACATTTTTCTTCATTACATCAATGGAACCCTAAAGTTTTGATATTTGACCTAGGAAAACTATTTTACTCGCTTTGGTTTAGAAATTAAGTCATCATTTCAAGTATGAATTATTTTTTTTTTGGTTAAACTCAAATGGATTTTGCACTAAATTCAGTCAGGGTGTTGGATTTTTTTTTATTTTTATTTATTTATTTATTTATTTTTTTTTTTTTTTTTTTTGTGTGTGTGTGTGTTTTTTCCCTCCCTTTGACTGATATGTTTGATGCTTGTTGCCCCAATCATAACGTGGATTGGAAAGGTCTTAATGTAATGACTACATTTTAGGATAAGCATCCATATCGCGAACTTGTTTAGTAATCCTATGCTTTCTGAGCATTGGATTGAGAGGTTTTGTTAGTTTGAGGATGTGTTTTACAAACATTAAAATAATGAATTTTGTCTTATTTGCAATCTTTTGGCCACGGTTTATGGACTTAATTGGTGTTTTGAAGCTCTTATTGATTCATTGGGGAAGAAGTTGAACATATTATGATATGCAATCATATTTATCATTGCACCCATTGTTTAGGAATAAGGATACTTTATAATACATAAAATAGAAGATAAGAGATGTAAGTTTAAGCCATAAAAATTCAAACCTACAATATACAAATGCAGAGGTAAGAAAATATAATATTTGAATGATATTTTGTGGGTTACAATCCTCGTAGTTCTCTTGATTCCTCTCTCCAACGGCTAGGGTTTTGTTGTGCTTATATGCAAGGAATCAATATTTGGGGAAGGGTATGTTAATCATAGCCTATTAGTGGTAGCTTGGGGAATAAGTTAGAGTTTGTTATGAGAGTTTTTCTATAAATAGGCCTCATTTTAGGAGGAATAAGGATCATGCTGAATATTGATTAGAGTGAAGTTTGTTGGAGAGAATCCTTCCTCTCGAAAGAAGGAGAGTTGTATTGGTTAATTACTCTGATTATCAATACATCATATCAATTGTGCCTTCTATTATCCTGTGTGTGATTGTGTATGCTCTGTTCTGTCCCCAGTTCCTAGCATTATAGTACGATGCCTTGTATACTATGTACTTACAATGTTTTGGAATAGGGAGGAGATGGGGTCTTTGTGACTTATTCCATCTAAGCCTCCTGAAATCCTAGAAATAACCCTCTTTATGTAGAGAGTCGTAGAGTAGAGAGGAAATAATTATAAAATAATTTGCGAGATTATAACGATAATATCTTATTCTTGTATTTTTTTGATATTATCTCCTTATTTACACCCATTTGACACCTAAAAGTTAACAAAAATTTCGGTGTCAACAGTAAGTAAAGAATTATTTGTTCGAGAAAGACAAACCATTGTTTCAACTCCTTTGATCACTTGCAAGATTCGACAAACGATTAATCATGTTAAAATGGGAGCTCCTTCAAATTTTTTGTTGACATCATGCATTTGACACCAGCACACATGCACATGAAAAAAAAACAAAAACTTTCTTAATTTTTATTTCATGGACATATCTTTTTGGCTTGGCAAATTTGCCACCTGGATGTTAGTTTGAATGCTGGTTATTGTTTTCCATGTCTGCAAACTTGTGTTGTTGAGGAACTCTGCCTTTAGTAAGCTGGCCGTACAAAAAGCAAATTCCTGACATTCAAATTTGGGTTCACATCTCATTTTTAGCTAATTGTGCAGTAATTTTTCCACATGCTCCTTGTCTGATGTGTTTGAAACTGTTGTCTGATTGTTTGACATTGATGCAGTATGTCTTCATAACATTTGTCTTAATAACATTTGTCATTTTATTTATACTTCAAAGCAGTTGCGTTGTTAATTTTTGACTCCATACATTATGAGCAGCTACTTTGCTGGGTGAGATTATTGATACTGGTGTAGTGGAGCTCGGGAATATCAAACTTGCCTCTCAACTTGCAGAGAAGAAAGCAACAGGGCAACTTTTCTTCCGAAATGGTAAACAATAATCTTGTAAAGTCATGGCTTCGAAATTAGCTTTACTGGATATGCTCTAAATTTTTTTTGCGATAGATACATGTCACATTAACATCAAGCTGACTCATGTTGTGGAGAAGGTACCAAAATGTTTGCAGCTTCTACTCACTATGGTGGGGCCACTTAGCCGTTGTACTAGTTATCATTTTATCAAGTCTCAGTCTAACATTTAGTCTCTCTTTGCTATATATTTAGTTTCTTTTTGCTATTTTTATGGGTTCTATCAGAATTATAGAGTTAGAGTTCCACTGTCTTCACATATTGTTTGTTAGTCATGCTTTGAACTCTCAAGCTGGATCTATGTTTTTCTTCTAGGCTCTTACCTATTTTGTTTACAGGTCTTCCTTCTCTGATTGCATTTCCTCAAGGGTGTAAAAGTTCCAGCTGTCTTATTAGGTAAGTTCTGAGTCATGTATGTTTGAGTGTTTGACAAATAAAAGGAGTGCTCTGTTGTTACGAAGCTTCATTATTCAAGTGCTGTTAAATTTTCTGTTGGAGTAATATGCCTAGCATTTGTAATTATTATTTTTTGTTCGCATTGGATCATGAGCTTAATATATTTGTTAGGTATGAAGGAGATATTTCGGTTGATGCAGTTACAGATTGGTTTGCAGTAATGATACTGAAGTTACCTCGCATTCCTTATTATACCAAGGACACATTGGTATGTTGATCTTCTTTCATTGTAATTAGATGTTTGACGGCTTCTCATGTTTGTTTATTTAATTATTTAATTTTTTAACTGGTATACCACCTAAAAAGATTTCCAACTTGATACTAAATACCTATCATGGTCCATCAGCATAGAGTTTGCTGATTAAAAAAAAAAGGATGTGATATCTGATATGCATCTACAGTGCCCACAAAAAATTAAACATGAGAGTCAGTAAGTGGAAAAGTGTGGCGTAACCGCGTACCCTACCTTTTCTGCCCATGTGATACGGATTCAATTTGGAAGGGTTAGGGGGTTTAAGGTTGTGTTCCCTTCGATATTCCGCCCATGTGACATGGATCTCTGATTAGTATAGTATGATTCGTGTGCCCTTCCATCTTCTGCCTCTGTGGTATAAATCTGTTAGTACAGTATGATTTGTGTACTTTTTATAAAAAAAATTAGATCATGGTGCATTAAAGGACATTAATTCGCATATATGGTTTTTCATTGAGTGACTGAAGAAGTTTTATTTTTTTAATGATTTTTGTTGTGCCTTGAGTCCTAGGAAGGTCTCAATCATTATCTCTTGTATTGTGTTTGTCTTGATGCCTCACTTAATACAACAACCACAACCAAGCCTTAGTCCAAAAATGATGTGGGTCGACTAACATGAATCGTCATAAGAAAATCGTTTGAAAAGGGATTATAGGAATCCAAGCACTTTAGATTCTTGAAAGGAACACCCCCCTCTTCTCTTTAGATTTCCTTATTAATTTCCATTATCCAATTCTGAAAAATACTTCTAATCTGTTTTTTAAAGCTTCATCCTTGAGTTTTAAAAACAAGTTTCTGTACAACTTAATTTGAAAGGTGTTTAGAGCTCAAACGTTCATATCCAAACACGTACTACATACATTTATGAAATTTCTTAACATCTACTGTTTGCTCGCAAATTAAGGCTATTGGAGAGTGTTGATGTGGTAAATGAGTGAAGAAAAAGGTAGATTAAGTAAGAGAGTATGTGGAAAAAGGTAAATGGGTTTAAGATAGTGGATAAAGTAAGAGAAAGAGTGAGTGCATATGTCATATGTGTAAGTATTGTGGGGCTAGAAGGGTAAGTTAGTAACTTTCTGAAATGGACAATGGGAGTTGTCCAAAACTTTCAAAGCAGAGGTACTATTTACGTAGTATATGATATTTGAGTGTTGGCAACTCTTGTTTTATTACTCCGCAGTATATTTTTTATATCACCATCAACATTACTCCAATGTCTCGGAAGAGGATCCCACCAATGGGTAAAGGGATTGAACTTTTGCATCTTTGCCTTCATGATAACTGATAAGTCTAGAAAATTAAACGATCCAGTTTTTTGCTTTGAAAGTCATATGCATCCAATCTCCCTATGTTGTGTCAATCTTTTGGAGATCGGATAGGTATTAAGCTTGTACACACTGTATTTATGTTTGTATAAAATGAGGTTGTTTAGTTTTCAGTGATATATATTTGTACTTGTAAATGCTAGTATATTTTTCTAGTTACTTTTGTTATGTGCTTGAACAGTTGTATTCTTACCATTTATTTCTCCTATTTCTAGGGACCAAGATTTCTGGCTAAGAGTAGTTATAATAAGGTATGCTCTTTTCCTTTTTATTTAATTTTTTAATAAGATTCTGATTGGATCTAAAAATGCATTTTAAATCATAACAGAATTCTAATGTGAGCATGCTTTCCTTAGTTTGTAGGTAAGGCCTCCCATCATGGAGGCTGCTTGAATACGGTCTGCTTAAATATTGTTCTATGTGCGCCTCATGCTTCTTGATGATCCTTGTAGATTATTGGATACTTGTACTTTGTGCTCTGACGTTTGAGTATTATATTAGCTAAATATGAACATGATTGATGGCTTAATTTGGACTTATTTTGCATATTGTTTTTGGTTCAAGGTAAAAGTCATGTTCTTCTCGGACACAGGAATGCGTGCAACACCATTCATGCGTCAAACTGCCAGGAATTATCAGGATTATGCTTCCTTTGCATGTGTTCTTTGGAGGGAAGATGAATTTTCCTATTGGTCATCTATGTATGTGCTTCTGCCCTTGTACCAAATTTAGGCAAATTGTTTGTATGACTGAAGCCTCTACTTTGCGGAGTTTGCTATATTTTTACTTCTGTGGTCGATACCGAGCTCTAGATTTGTGGTTAGTCTGTAACTAGTGTAATTGCCCATTTGTTGAAAAAATGCTTTGGGGATTGAGGATTGGTGTCAACTGTCAAGCAGATTTTTTTTAAAAATTATGAAAAGTACATATTTGGATAACACGCATTAATACAAATCTAATAAGATCCCATTTGATATATTTTATCTCTATAGATTAGCGTACATATAAGGTACAAGTGGAGTCAAATAAGAAAATCAAATCTTTTTGTATATCATCAGAAAAATAATTCCAATCAGAAAAGTAATTTCAGATCAGATTAGCAAAAATAAGGTGAACTAAACATAGCCTAAGGGAGTATTAATTACTGCATACCCAAATTTAAAATGTTTGTTTAGCCACTGCTATGATGGGTGTATTTTTAACTGTATAATACCAGTCCAAGTCTGCATTTTCTGAGCATCTTGGGCATATTACATAGAAGTGGCTTTTTTAATGTCTTATGTGTTGTTATAACCTTTCTGAACAATAATTTCTTCTTTCATTAGCTACATATCTGCTAATGGGCTGATTTAAGAGATATGTATTAATATATTGCATTTATATCGAAATCTCATTTATACTGCACTTGGGACACTCTCGCATTACCTATTGTTACTCTATAAAATGGTACCGATCTGATGTTCCAGCTATTCTGTGTTTTTTTTTTTTCTATAGGCATAAAGTATTTTTAATTGTTATTGATGATTACAGATATGATGTGGAATCAGCTCCGGCCACTGTCTTTTTGAGGGATCCGGGCGCCAAACCTTTGGTGTTTTATGGTATATACCAATTTCTACTGCTGTCTCGTATCTGTTATTTGATTATTAGTTTTCAAACAGCTTCTTTTACCATCATTTCTCTTCATTCTTATCATCGTGCAGGGGCTGTAAACAGTTCATGGTTTGTGGATGTAATGGAAGATAATAAACTGCACGGTAATGCTCCTGCTCAGAGTTTATTTTCCTTTTTCATTCTTTTAGGTTTTGGTGGTGGTGTATGTATTTGTAACAATTTTTATGAGAGGCTTGTCCATAAGTTGTTTAGCCAATAGCAATACACTTAATGAGAAGGTGTCAACATTGTTGTTTAAAGTTGTATTTCCCCTTTTATGTCTTAATTCCAATCTTTCTAAGCTCATGATTGAACTACATATAGAATCTATATATTCAATAGTTCATTTGTTGATTTACCAATATATCTGCAAAATCTTTCCAATAAGAATTACACTGCTTAGTTTGTGATATATGCTGTAAATTTTGTATACTTGAATGAATATTCTTCTAGGTGTAATATGAGGTATCCTGATGCTGAATATTTTATGTTTCTAGAACTTCCACAGTTGAGGACCATGACATCAGTGGAGTTGGGTTGCGATTCACGTGGCTATTCCCGAGCAGGGGCAAGTACTACGATTTGGTATTGTGTAGTCGTTATTGGAAGGCCAAGCCCAGAAATGAATGAAATGCGTGAGGTGAGTTGTCCACTTTGCAATAAATACAGTTTCCTTTAAAAGAAAGGATGTAATTCATGAATATTTTTAATTTCTAATCAATGTACATCTCTCTAAAGAAGCTTCAAACTTTGTTAAACTATAAATTGTAACGTAAAATGAGATTCGTGCTGTTTGCAACAAATTTGAACAAATGAAAGAAATTTCCTGTAGCCCATGTTTCTACATTTGTTTTGAAAAACTAACCATTGTAATCAAATACTAGTATTTTTTTTTTTACCAAATACATTGTGAAAAATGGAGGCTTGGGCTGAAAACAAGCACATAAGTTCTTGTTTCAAATCTGTATAGGCTTGAAATTTCATGTAATTTCTTGGGGCGGAATGTCTTCTCTCATCCTCTCACTTGGAATTTTCATTTGAAGAGAATAGTCAAGATTTTTCAATCAAGAGGATCTTACTAGTTTAATAGGCTTTTGAATGTGTGCAGGGAGACTAGTATATTTCCTGATAGCGAAAGATAATAGAGAAAATTAACAAAAGTATAGATTTTCAAAGAGAAGCATGGTTTAAGCAAAGACTTAATTTATCTGCATGCTGCTAGCAAGACTTTTGCTGTCTTTATAGAATCTGAGTTGTCCTAATAGTAAATCCACAGACCACTGTATATTCAATGTGTTTTCCTGTCTTAATGAATCCTACAATTTGTTTGATTTGAGTTGTATATCTATATAATTGTGAAATGTGAACTTGTCCAACAGACTTCTATAATAGACTTCTCCAATAAACGAATAAACGATGTTTCATGACTTGTGTTTGTGCACTATCTCAATCGATAAAGTTGATTGTTTTTTTTTTTTTTTCCTTTTTTTTTTTTGACTTTGACTGTTGAATTATTTTGAGGCTTTAGGTTCTGCGCAGGGCCCAACAAAGTTTATCAGAAAAGAGCTATCAGGATGCACCCCATTCCAATGAGTTGGCAGCACATGCAGCAATTGCACTTAAAGAGAAGCGATTAACTTTAACTTGGATGGATGGAGAGGTACAAAAGGTTGGTGTCCCGTCACTTCTCCATTAAATTTTTGTTGCAGCTCCCAACTTATAGTTTGCAAGTCCAGTTGTATGATAACCTCCCTAAGTCCTTTGTGATTAGGTTTTGGGAAAGATACTGCATATATTATCAGTGCCACAATCAAGGTTTCACTATAATTGTATGCTATGATTTAAATACTTAATTATTGATTTTTGTGGGGAGGGGGAGGGGGGGGGGAGCATCGATTGGTATTTGGTACATTTTACTATGTGTCACCTTCATTTGATAGTGACGGGTTTATAGTTGTACACCCACTAGATCTGACCGATTTATTATGATTATGGAAGCTCTATAGACCATTCATAACGGTTATATAGGATGATACTTCTTTTAAAAATTAGTATAATAAGCTCTATAGTAGTCATTTTAAAAATTAGTTTGAAATTATACTTCTTTTTTGCAACAAGCCCTTGTCTGTCAGACATTCAGTTAAGTGTAGTTCTTGCTGTAGAACAATCACTTTTCTCTACCACATGTAATAGTCTAATTGATATAATAAGCCGTTGTCGACCAAATCCTGCAAAAAAAAAATAAATAAAATTAATGAAAAAAAGAGCATAAAGGAAGCTTAAAATTCAAGCTTTAACCATTAAGGGAATACTCCCTCTGATTAATAAAGTGCAGCAGTCAACTTGGGCACGTGTGCCAACAGCTGCGATTTTTTTTTCCCGTCACACTCAAGTCTGACTTGATAATGTTGCCGTGACTCATTAGTTTCAATCATAATAAGCCTTTGGCCTTGTATATGCAGGTACCTATGCATGATTTTGAAATGTATCTTCACTACATCAAATTATAACAATACTTCCTCCGATTTTTAGATGCATCATTTTTTAGAAAGTTTCATTTAGATGCATCTCTTTCATATTTATTCAATAAACTCTCTCTATTTCTCTCCCATCACATGAGTACTTTTTTCTTTCTCTCTATCTCTCTCGTCTTCAAAAATTGATTGGCTAGGAGCTTGCTAATTTTAAAGTGATGCAACTAAAAAGAAATAGATGAAGTAGTATAGTTATGCTTACTGTTTCCTTTTGTATTATTTTTACTATATATATATTTGTTTTAAAAATTATAATTATGCTTGCTGTGATTTCTTGATCTTAGAATTTGTGCATGTTCTACATTGGTGGTGAGCTTAGCTTGGAATGTTGTGGTCCAAGAAGAGGCATTGAAGATGCTCCACAGGTGGTTATGGTGCGTTACATGAGAAATGATTCCGTTGAAGATCCTAAGGATAAAAGATCCCCCTCAAGTTTACTGGACAGTCTTAAAGATGATGTAGATCCTGTGTCTCAACTGGTAGCACGATACAATGGCTCCGCTGAGCCTTTACAGGTCGATTTGTCTGCCTCATAAGTGTTAATTTCAGAAGTTTATTTGTCCCAGAACTATCTTTACTAGGCATTAGAGCCGTTAGTTCCATCCTTTTTCTTCTGAACAATGGTTTTTCAGCACATACTTATTATTTTATCTAACTTCAGATTATTGAATGGATTTCAAAGAATATCAAAGATGGTGACTCAGCAAAACTTCCTTTCTATGTAAGTAAAGTTTGTTTTTGTCCTTTGTAATAGTGTTGTTTGGTGCATTTGGACATTTGTATAGCGCACAGCGGCACAGACATGCATATTTACATGATTCTATGCATGTTGACATGTTTAGAAATTTTGTTCTCTCAGTATGGTGTTATTTAGTATTTAATTTTAACAGGCTCAATGCTCTGACGATGTCTTGCTTTGTAATTTTCTTTTTCCATTTTTGTTTTGCTGATTAAATGTCATCTAAATTGTCAGAGAACAAACACACCTGAGCTTGTTCCCGAGAACTCTGATCCCCTTTGGTTCGTTAGTGGTGAAAAATTTCTTTCCACTAGGAATGGAATGAAACATAAACTTGGAAGAGTCATAGCTTGGTTTCGTGATCTTTCTGGTGATCCAAGGATTGGTCCATTGTTACTTCTTGGAGCATTATTGTCATTTGGTGGAATATGGCTCCATCGCAGTCAGCCAACTCCTTCAAGTGACTCTAGTCAGCGGCAAGAAACCAATACCAAGGTGAGAGTTCTTTTGGGATTCTACCCTAGTTATATTCGTACGGACAACAAAGCCCTAGTTATATTCATAATGCTTAGGAATCTTAAATTGCAGCAGCCAGCAGATATGATCTCTGTTTATGAATCTTTGACAAGTTACATAATAGTTAAATCATAACGACATTTGGCATCACCATGACTAAAAAAATTAAAATAAATAATTAAAAAAAACTAGTGCCTTATTTAACAGTATTGTTAACTTGTGCGAATACTTGTTTTTGTTATTAATCATGTCTGAAATGTTCTTGCTTTGCCTCAAAGTTTCATTTCATTCTTAGCTACTTATTGGAGAACAAGGGTATTAGCTAGCCTATTATGTTGTATTTAGCAGACTTTTAATCGAACTGCCTACTTTTGTTTAGCATATACTGGTCTGAATTGAAGCATTACTACTACATTCTGCTATTGCGTAATGTGGGTATTTTTTTCCTACAATTCATGGTTGTGAAGAGATGATGTGATGTACATTCGGACAAGTCCGCTCATGGTGCTATGAATTTATGGTTCAGTTTTTAATAATCTTACACTCTTTTTAACAGAAAAAGATCCCTAAGGAGTGGAGAAATCGGAGAAGGAACAGTGTAACCGGAGAAATTCCTCCTTCAATAACTGACGTTGAACCGAAAGATGCTTATCAAATGGAATTTTCAGATTCAGACTCTGAAGATAATCACAATAATTAGCACCAATTTTGGAATATATATATATATATATATATATATATATATATATATATATATATATATATATATTTGTGTTTTGTGCGGTTTCTGATGTATGAATAAAACCATTTGTATCTCTAGTTTTGCAATAATAAATTTTTTGAAAAAGTAATATTATAAAATACAGATTACAACAAATCTAACAAACTAGGTTAGAACCCGTACGATGCACGGTTTATATAAAACCTATTTTTAACTTGTACTCCTTCCGTTTTTAAATACTTGCTTCATTTCTCCATGCGCATAGGAGAAATTGGCGAAATTAATAAAATATGGAGGTAGTGGGATTGGTGAAAGAATAAAAAATTGTAAAAAAACAATAGTGGAGAAATTGAAGGTGAGAGAATATGAAATGAATAAAATATGACTCTTGTTGGGTCCATTAGGTGGTAGAAATGAATTAAATATTATAAAAAAAATTAAAATAAAAAATGGAGCAAGTATTTAAAAACGGCCGAAAAAAGAAAATGGAGCAAGTATTTAAAAACGGAGGGAGTACATTTTAATAATAAATTGCTATTATATATAAATAAGAATTACGTATATTTTGTAATTTTAAAACTTATATTTTCATCAAAATTGTGATATAGTATTTGTTCGATGTCGTCTGATTCATAGTTCAACGTAAGAAGTCATTTATTAGTGTGCTATTTAAAATTGTTTCAATTTCCTACGATAAAATGATAAGTTTTAGTTGTAAGGTAGAAGCTTCTAATATTTAAATTTAAATATAGGATAGTTGTACAAAAAAAAAAAAAAAAAACATCCATTGCATTTAGGCGGTAAAATTCTTATCAAGAGAGCGACACGTGGACAGTAGTGATATCATCATTTTCTGTTTTAGTAATAGTTAATAGATATCGTATATGATAATTTGTTTTAGGAATAAATGGTTTATATAACTTTTAAGTGAATGATAAGGGTTGGTGGGTCTTTTTTAAAAAAAAATTGTTAAAAATAATACGAGTACAAACTTTAATGTTTTAATAATACAAACATTTGAGAAACGGGGTAAATTAGATATTTTTGAGTTTCCTCTAAGTTTTCTCATTGGGAGGGTTTTTTTGGTTCTCTCTAGGGTTTCTCCATTGGGAGGGTTTTCCTAACCTTCATTGCTAGTTTTTTTCAATTTTTTTTAGAAGGTTTTCCTTCTCTCCTCTCCCTTTTCTCTTCATCTCTAACATCTCTTTTCCTCTTGATCTCAGTTGTGAATCATTGTAGGGGCCTCCACTGGTGTTCTTGTCAGTGGTAAGCCTCAAAAACCTTTAAATTGCTTTCAATAAACAGATCACATCCTTGAGATGATGATTTTTCTCTTAATTTTATTTTCTTTTTATGTTTCTATGGTAAGAGTTGAAGATCTAGGGTTTCTTATTCTCTACAAGAATCCGGAGGGCCACATGAATATTTTCACTCAAACGACTACGCATCCGTGGATTTCAAGCCGAATCAATGCGAACTTACAAATTGTATTACTTAGATGAAGTTTTTTATAAAGACGATTGTTAGTCAATTCTACGATGTACTTAGTTTTAAGGTGTGTACTTGTGTTGGAATACTTGGTTTCTTAAGAATTATATGTATGTCTCGTTTGACGATATTTTATTAATGAAATCCTTTTTTCTTCTTGTGTAAAAAAAAAAATACAAACTTTTGAGGTATTAGACAAACAAACAACATTAAAGGAAAACATGGCAGTTGATTCCCATTTCGTTTCTTGAAAATCCCAACTAAACGCCCCTTTGCATAGCCAACCGTTAACCATTTATGATGGTTATTGGGAGAGAGAATGTGGAAAAATAATAGAAAATGAAGAGAGAAATTTTTGGGAATATAAAGCAATAACCTGGTTGTGGTTTCCAGGTTAAAGCTTGGTTATTAAGTGAAATAGTAAGACCAATTTGCTTGGTCATTGAGTGAAAGAGGGAGATTGTGTGGTGGGGTTGGGTAAAAGTAAGAGATATAAGATAAGTAACCATGGTCAACCATTAAGCTACATTGGTTATTAAATGGGTATAAGAGTGGTTATAAATGAGGTAGAAGATAGAGAAATTAATTAAATAAGTGATAACCATAATGGTTGTGGGCAACCATTGTGTTTACTCTTAGGGATTCGCTTAAAATATTTCAATATTTTGATTATGTTTTAATAATACAAACTTTTGAGGTATCCAAGGATCAAATCAATTCGACCGATCAAGAATAGAGCTAAACGTAAACAAGGATAATTTACCAACAAGTTGATTGGTTAACATTTTTTTTTGGATTAAATTGTTAAACAATTTAACTAATTCTTAATCAAAACTTTAACTATGATTATTTAAAATAACTCCTAATTAAATAATCGCTAAGTCATGTCATCTTTCAACTATGAGCATATTCCAATTAAAATGTCTATCATGATATTCGAACTCACAACCACAAAAATATGAATTAGATGTCTTACCATCTCATCCACACATTAATCATGTTTTAATACTCGACTCATAAATATATAAGTATATGGATTGGATGGAGATCTGAACATTTAATAGCTGCAAATCTTTTTTAAAAAATTGATCCTATTATTTGCTAATTATGATCATCGAGATAATATATACAAGCAAGAAAAATTAACTATTGTTATAAATTTTAGTTATTAAATTATTTTGATAATAATTATGTCTTTATTTTCGTAATATTATAAATTATATACAAAGGATATGTCTATATAATTTTTTTTACAAGAACATGTTTATATAATTAGTCAATAGTTGTTCTATAAATAATTTATTCAAAGGTTTAATGAGAAATTATTATAAACAAATAGTGAATAAATAAATAAATAAATAATGAACCTATCTATTCAATAACAAGTGTTAAAAAAATAACCCGGACCATTGCTCGAGCCACACACTAGTTTAATTATTACTTACCTCCGTTTTTTATTAGTTGACACGTATTTCTTTTTAGGAAATTTTTTTTAGTTGACACGTTTCTTTCTTGGGTAGGTTTTATACCTTGCTTTTTAAGTGTATCCCACTCTCCCACTTGCTTTATCACTCTCTCTCCTCTCTTTAATATGTGTGCAATGTGCCTAAATTAAACGTGTTAACTAAATAAAAAGGGAGGAATTATATGAAATTGCATTTTTTGTGGGGCCGATTGACACATACCTAAATACTGACTGAGTTGAAAAAAAGTTATTTACTCGTACTACACGACCTACATTATCAGTCTAGGGGTGGGACTTCGGTCTGGCAGTTCGGTTTGACCTCGGTTTGAGTCGGTTTCGGTTTGGAGCGGTTCGGATTGAAACGGTTTAGTTTAGCTGGCGGGTCGGTTTGGTTCGGTTTGGGTTAGTCACGGCTCGGTTTGGTTTCGGTTTATTTCTTTGCAGTTTAAATTCGGTTTGGGTCATAAGCGGGTCGGTTTATAAACGATTCGGATTATGTCGGTTCGGTTTGATACGGGTCGGTTTAAGGGGCGGGTTTACCCGGGTCAATGTCAGTTCGGTTTACAAACGGTTTGGATCAAGCCGGTTTGGTTTGAAATGGGTCGGTTTAGGGGCGGATTTACCCGGGTCAATATCGGTTCAGTTTATAAACGGTGCGAATCATGTCGGTTCAGTTTGAAATGGGCCGGTTTAGTAGAGGGTTTACACAGTTCAATTGGTTCGGTTTATGAACGGTTTGGATCATGTCGGTTCGGTTTATAAGCGGTTTGGGTCATGAATTGAATTCATGATTGTTTTAAAGATCGCGTCATGACCATGATTTAATGAGTTGATACTTATAATACGATAAATCGATAATTAAGAATGTACAAATATTCAATTAGATTGATCAACAAGTGTTTTAAACTTTTAAGTTTTAATAATCAGATATGTAAATATGTTTATCGATTGTAGATTTGTAGTACATACCAATAATTCAATGAGGCAATGATACTTATGATAGTATGATAATGATACCAACCATACATTCGTACGATATGATATACATAATAATTAATCTATAATTACATATACATTAACAATATCGTATTGAATCAATTTCCATTTCCAAACATTGCATTTCTTATAAAATATAACTTACACGAGATTAAATGGATTCGTTATTTAGTTTGTTACTTTATTTAGATTACTAACTCAGACAACTTAATAAGTTAAATGGACGAAATCACGAAATCACTAATTAAAGTGGTGATGAAAGCATTATGCAATACTAATGTACGAATAGTCAAATATACAACGGTTAGATTGAATGCCCATGAAAAACAATGGTTAGATTTTCATTACTTTATTAGTTATTAGTATTATTACTTATTAAGTTATTATTAGTTTTATAGCTTATTATATATACTGATATACAATCACAGACTCACAGATGTCAGATATTGTCATATTGATGAGCATTAAGCCATTAACTCATTAAGTCATTAACTATGTCGTATTGAATCAATTTCAATTTTGAAACATTTGCGTTTCTTACAATTTATAACTTATAAGTAATAAACTAATAATAATAATAATAATAATAATAATGATAATAATAGTAATAATAATAATAATAATAATATTATAATAATAGTAGTAGTAAACTAGTAATAATAATAATATTAACAAATAATTATACTAACAATAATAATAATAATAATAATAATAATAATAAATAATTAAAAAAAACGGTCAAAAAGACCTAGAAAAGCACAAAGAAAATCTAGACCGTTAGATCTAGATGAATATTCTAGAATCTACAAAAAAAAAAAAAAATGAACGGTTAGATCTAACTTAGATGTTGAGATTGAATATGGACGGTTAGATCAACTGAAGTAAAACCTAAACCTAGAAAAAAAACCCACTCTCACTCTCTCAGCCATTCTCATTCACTCATTCAGCCGTTTCTCTCTCAATCTCACAATCTGTCATAGTTTCTTTCTCTAACTTCTCAGTTTCTCACTCTTTCGTTCTGAAATTCTCAAGAATC